CAAAATGGCTGCTATATTTTCTAGCGAATATACGATGGTTATGGCATAAGAGGTTGATTTTACCAAACAATTCCATGATAATTAAGTCATATTGTATTACTCAGATTTTATTCTGTGATTTCACTATTTAAAAAGTGACTTGAGGGAGTCAGCAGATGGTGTGGCGGTTAAGGCACTAGACTTCCACCAGGCTGACCACAGTTCAAGTCCTGGACCTAATGGCTTGAAAAATCATGCCAGGCACATGTACATGCATACATACCTAAAATCCCGAGAGGAGACTGGGGGAGACAGGACTGCAGCATGGCTATCTCCCTTGGAGGAGTGAATCTACTTTCCTTCTCTCTGACTCTCTCTCCAGTGAGCACATGCACCCTACAGCAAAAACCTTAAAACATAACAAAACAAAACACCCTTGATGAGTCCTAAAAAACATCAGGACTCTCTATTTTAGCTTTCTCTCTATAGGCCAACTTGAAATCAAATTTGTGGCTTTAAACTACTTCCTTTAATACAATGTGAAATTAAGTTCTGTCACTATCTGAGGAATAATCAGCTATCAGAAAAATCTGCTGTTCAAATTTTCTTCTTTTTCTTCTATTGTAAGTTAAAATTTATTGAACAATTACTAAGTGCTAGTCACTATCCTAACTGCTATGTTTTTAAGTCATTTAAACATATCAAAACTTTTTTTTTAAGAGAGATTTTTGCTATAGGGTGCATATGCTCCCTGAAGAAACAGAAAGACAGAAAATGAGAGATCATTCCCCAGGGGGGATGGCCACACTGCAGTCACTTCTCCTCTATTCTCCTTTCAGGATTTTGGGCATGCATGCACACATGCACACTGTGATTCTGAAGCTGCCAGGTCTGGGACTTGAATTGCAGTTGCCTACGTGGGAGTCCAGCAATGTAACCATTACGCCACCTGCTGTTCCCAAACATCACAAAACTCTCTAATAAAGTCTGTATGTTACTTTGGGATAATATCTATCTATAAAATAGGACATAGAGGTGATATATTTTAAACGTTACTTTATGCTAGCTCACGATATCTGTGTTTATATCTGCAAATATACTATAGTTTTGATGGCATAGTAGTTAAGAGTTAGGATTCTGAAACCAGACTGCCAAGGTTCAAATCCTGGCTGCACTCACTTGTTACTGTCTATCTGACACTTAGACAAGTTACTTCTCTGTGCCTCTGCTGTGAAAATCTAATTATCAGATTAAAGGCACTCAGAATAGAGCATAATACACAGCTACACATACGAGGTTTAGCTTTTAAAAATATTTTATATATCACATGAGCTGACTTAACGATTCTGCAACTTGGATTTTTTATTCATTCAACAAATGGCTTGAAAAATGATCCATGCTGGGACCAGCAGATGGTGTACTGGTTATGTTGCTGGACCCCTCGATCTGGCAGCTTGAGACTCACGCTGGGCATGCATGACAAAAGTCATGAGAGGAGAATGGAGGAGAAGGGATTAAGGCATGGCCAAACCCTCAGGGTGTGATTTCTCACTTTCTATCTCTTTCTATCTTTCCTGCAAACTCATATTTGATACTCCTGTAGCAAAAAAAAAAAAAAAAAAAAAAACTCTCTTAAAAAAAATTCCACGTTGGGCCAGTAGATGGAGTAGTGATTAAGGTGCTAGATTCCCATGTGGTCAACCAGTTTCAGTCCTGGACCTGGCAGCTTCAAACTCACTGTGTGCACGTGCATGCATGTCTAAAATCCCAAGAGGAAAATGAAGGAGGAGGGATTGTAGCATGGCCATCCCCCCTGGGGGGTGGTGGTGGTGATTTCTTGCTTTCTGTCTCTCCAGAGAGCACACATGTCCTATAGCAAAAATCTCTTTAAAAAAATCTATGTTGCAGAACAGCTCTAACTCACCTTACACTATATATTATACCATTGTAAATATGTTGTCACTCTCAAATTATTTATCAATTCTACTGATGGTCATTTGTTTCCTGTTTTTTCTTGTCTTGTGATATGCACAGATATACGAATCTTCATGTGCACATGTGCGAGAGTTTCTCTAGGTTACATATGTAGAAGTGGAATTGCTGGCTCCTGGTGAAGCATACCTTCAACATCATTTGATAATGCCAAAATGCTTTCCAAAGGGGTTTTGTCCCACAAGCAGTGGATGAGATGTTCCATTTCTCCACATTCCCGTATTGTCAGACAATACCATTTGATATTGTGAGGCATTAAAAACAAGTTAATCTTTATTCTAATAGTATTATAACAAGTGATTTAAAAATATACCCTTCTGATAGATAAACAAGTATTTTATTAAGTGCCATATTCTTAATCTTTGTAATAAAAAAAAGACACTAAAGTGCAAAAGAAGATGTCTAAATGTTAGAGCACAGACTTGGAAGATACCTAGAGTAGCAACAAAATTTCTATCACAGGAAACATAAGGCATGAGGAATCAGGGTTAGTGAAAAAAAAACACTTACCTCAAACTCCTTAAGCAGTTTAGAAACAAGCAAACCCTCTGGAAATTTGGATACAACCTAATAAATAGAAAGTGAAATACAAAATAGATGCAATTAAAATACTGGATGACAAAAATATCAAAGTTAGACAGTATAAAATTAAATAGTAATAAAGACAAAAAAATGAGTGAACGAATGAATGAATTACAGTCACATTATACTGTTTTGTTGTTTTGATTGCCATTGGGCATGTGCACTCACAAGAGACAGAGAGAGCGAGAGGGGGAGAAAATACTCCCCACTTGGACAGGGTGATGCTGCAATCCTTCTTCCCCCATTTCTCCATTCCATTAGATCTGGTATGCACATACACAAGCAGGAGGCTTTTTCCTCCATTTCTCGGTCCCATGAGGATATTGGGCATGAATGCATGCAAGCACAGGGCTGGGATATGAACCACCTCAGCAATGTGGAACCCAGTTCCCTATGCAGCACTTAACTTCTATGCTACAGGGCCAGCACTGTTATTTTTTTGTTTTTGTTTTTGTTTTTCCTTTTAAAACCAGTTTCCAGCTTTTTTTTTCTCTTTTTTCTTTTTTTAAAAATAAACATTATCACAACAAAAAAAGACAGTGATTTCCAACATTTCCAGAGTTGAGAAATCTCTGTCATACAATATTGCAATGCCGCAAGTCTCTAGTAATTCTAAGCTTTCCTAACTCAACTAACATATTTAGCTTCAGTTCACACAAAATTAGTATTCTACAGCATATTTTTTTTTCCAAGAGATTTTTGCTATAGGGCTCTGTGCTTACCAGAGAGACAGAGAGAGACAGGATGGCCACACTGCAATCCCTTCTCCATTCTCCTCTCAGGATCTTGGGAATGCATGCACACACGCCTGGCGTGAGTTTTAAGTTGCCAGGTTCAGGACTCGAACTGCAGTCAATTATGTGTGAATCCAGTGGCATAACCATTACACCATCTGCTGGTCCCTCTACAGCATAATTTTAAGCATTTGTACTATTGGAAAATAAATGCAATATGCTGTGGCACAGCTTACAGCATATTATACTGCTGGGCAAAAAGGCACACAGCTGACCATAGGTTTAGATCCCTGTTTGGCCTAAAAGGACTCTAGGCACATCAAGTACCCTACTTCCTGAAGAGCTGGAGGGGTGAGGATGGGAAACACGGTGCGATGAGATCTTATCAAGAATGCTTTCTCTTTCTCCCTCCCTTGTTTATGCATGCATGGTATAGTTTTTTTTTTGTTTGTTTTTGGTTTTTTTTGTTTTTTTTTTAGAAAAAAAGAGAAAAAGAAATGCAATAGTTATTACAGAAGATTTGGAAATACAGTTAAGATTTTTAAAAATCTATAAATAGCAATTGTACATATGTACACAAAATGCCTATAATGTAATGTAAAAGTACATTCAATGTTTCTGTAGCCAGTTTTTAAATATCATGCCATTGACATTTTTCAATATCAGTAAACATGAATCAAACTGGCTATAGATTTATCAAAATAGTCAATATATCTAAATTTATGTACTCTATTCTATTTTTTAAAGTTTATTTATTTATTTCATAAGACATGGGGAGAGAATCAGCACCCACAGTGATCCATCCCTAGTCAGCCCCTGAGTCAGGGGAGGTATGTGTCGAGTGCACCCAGGCAGGTCTCCACATGAAAACCCAGAACTTCCCCACATAGGTCAGCCTCACAGAGCATAGTGTTTTACCATGATGCATCATTGTCCAGGCCCTTGAACCTCTCTATGGCTTCTTATTTTCATCACCACAAATATTGAGATAATTTTCCCCATGCTGTGTTTTGCATACTTGTTCAATGATCTCTAAGGATAAATTCCAAGGAAGAGAACTACTGTATCCCAATAAGGTATAAAAACTCTGTTTTCTGGGAACCAGCAATTAGCGTAATGGCTATGTCGCTGGACACCCACGTAGTCAACCATGGTTCGCGTCCCGGACCCGGTGGCTTAAAACTCATGCCGGGCGCATGGGTGTGCGTGCGCATGCCCAAGATCCCAAGAGGAGAATGGAGGAGAAGGGATTGCGGCGTGACCATCCCCCCTGGGGGGTAATTTCTCGCTTTCTGTCTCTATGTCTCTCTCTGTCTGTCTGGCGAGCGCACGCGCCCTACAGTGAAAATCTCTCCCGCCCTCCCCCTCCTCCCCAAAAAATTCAGTGTATATACCTTTTGGTCCAATATGTAACAGCCAAAGAACTTTCGCACGTTATAAGGCAAAACTGTAAGTCAGATCAAGGACATGATCATGCAACTTACATAAAATGACTACTAAGCACATGAAAGATGTTCAATGTAAAAGTCAAGAGATACAAATTAACCCATGACTGAATAGTAACACTTTACTGTCAGTGAGAGTGTATATTTGTTCAAACCTTTTAGGTGGCAATATAGTAATACTTATCATCAGAACATAAAATATTTAATACTTTTGACTAGCAATTCTACTTTTTTTTTTTTTAGGAAAGATTTTTGTTATGGCACATGCACTCACTGGAGAGCCAGAGAGACAGAAAGCAAAAAATGACACTTCAGGGGGATGGCCGTGCTGCAATCCCTTCTCCATTCTCTTCTCGGCATTTTGGACACGCATGCACACACATCTGGCATGAATTTTAAGCCACTGGGACCAGATCCTGAATGAAGGTCAACTATGTGGGAGTCCAGCAAATTAACCATTAGGTCATCTGCTGGTCCCTGGCAATTCCACTTTCAAAGAAATGTTCAAGGACATTAATAACAGCAGCAACTCAAATTATAATCGATCACAGATCTCATAAATGAAACATTATGTATCAGCATAATAGTATATCATATATTATCTGGAATATTATTTGGCATACAAATATATAAAATTGGTACTGGAATGATCTTGAATTGTTTGTCAACAGTGAATTGCTGGGGTGAGAGGAAGAGGAAGGGAAGAGGAACGTTTATGGAAGAACTTATATTTTCTAAATATTTTTACATGAAAAGTTTTAGGAATGAATATTTTATGGTTTTTCTGACTTTAAGAAAATAACCCCTCCATTTGCAGTATATTAAAAAAGTATAAATATAAATACTTGTAGGCCAGTTGAACTCAATTACAAAAGATACCTAACTTCATAATCAATCATTCTTACTTGCTTCCAAAAAACAGAAAATACTTACAAACTTTATCTTATATTTTAGTTCTGGACTGATAGTCCCTCCAGGTCCAATTTGTGCAATAACTGATTTGAATGTGTTCTCCAACTACAAAGAAAATAATAAAAGTTACAGTTCCCTCCAACAAGAGCCAAAGATAGATCAAAACTGTAAGTAAAAGAAACATCTATAAAAAGAAATTTATTTTAATAAAATGTATAAAATACATTTCTTAAGAAGCCTTATAATTTTCCATACCATATAAACACATTTAGGATAGACTCTTCATAAAATTAAACACTGAAGAATTGTCCAGGGTAAGTAACATTCTCTATAATAATTAGATTACAAAGTCTTCAATTCTCGATCTCATACTCTTACCAAGAAAGGATTTTTGCTACTAACTTTCTATCTTTAAGGGTATTCTATGCTTTTTGAACACATACTTAGTGAATGCTGAATACAGGGGAGAGAAGAACGCTGAATACAGGGGAGAGAAGAATGCTGAATGCAGGGAAGAAATGGGAAGGAGGAAAGGAATGAGTGTGAGTGAGGGCACGGATGAACATTGGGCCCCAAGGGCAGGAACGAAGAGCTCTTCTGTTGTATCGAAAGCTGAGGAAGAAAGAATTAGAGTAGAAGGAATTCCCTGCAAATGCAGGATCAAAGGTAGAGAGAGTTACTGTTTGAGAGCATCAGTATTATCTATGAATTCAGAAGCAAAATCCACTTCAAAAAGCAGAGGGAAATTTTTGGAAGGAGGTCAATATTTGAGAAAGTACAAAACAACCTATAAAAACAAAGTTGAGGATGGGACCAGCAGATGGTATAATGGTTACAATGCTAGACTCCAACATATCTGACTGTGGTTCAAGTCCTGAGTCCAGTGGCTTAAAACTCATACTGGGCATGTGTGCATGCATGCCCCAAATCCTGAGAGGTGACTGGGGGAAAAGAGATTACAGCATGGCCATTTCCCCCTGGGGGGTGATTTCTTACTTTCTGTCTGTCTCTGTCTCTCTGGCGAGCACATGTGTCCTATAGCAAAAAAATCTCTCAGGAAAGAAAAAAGTTGAGTAAACAATGGATGATAACCAAAACCAAGTAATAGGAAGTAGGGGCCTAAGTTAAGGATAGCAGGAGACTGAGGATTTTAGTAGAGAGAAATAGTATAGCATTGTCCCAACAAAGTAAAAAGATGGTGCATGGAAATAATTGAAAACTAAGTTGAAAGCACAGAAGATCATGACCAGAGATTAATATGGAATATAGTCGCATAACCAAGGTCTAGTGAATAGCTAAGCAGTAGAACTCTAGTAGTAGAGCGAAAGACGATGGAGTTACGTCCACTACAAGTCATTAAAGCGGATAACTAAACATCTTTTTAAAGTCATAGATATAAAGAAAAACATAAATTATCTAAGATCTTATAATCTAGACATAATCACTAGTAATATTTTTCCTTTAACCTTTTTTTTTTTTTGTCTTTCTTCTTATACTCACTTGGCTCTCATCACTTACAAACTATGTGGCATCCTAGGTCTCCATTTCTTTATCTGAAAAATGGGGATAATCTCAGCCTCTCATAAGGTTGCTATGAAAATAACAAAATAAGGTAGGAAGAGTGTTTTTCCATGGTGCCAGACTGCCAGGTGAGTTCCAGGTGACCCTTTCCTGTTCCTCTTGCACAGCACTGCTCACCCTCCCAAGAGTCTCTCTCAGGCTACTTGCTACTCTTCTTTCATCCAGTATCCCTGGTATCGCATTTAGCAGAAATCTCTCGATATTCTGACTGGGAGATGGCTTCTTGTTTAGCATCTAGGATTAAGTGTTTCCCTATTCTTACATTGTCTCAGATATCTCCATGTGGCTCTTGAAAAGGGAGGACTAGGTATCTATGATTACACAAAGCTCTGGGCCGTGGTCTTACATTCTTTACATTTCTTTATATCATGAAATGTCATGAAGTAATTCCCTAAATCTCTCCCAGTGAATAATAAGAGAATCTAAAGATAACTGTACCTTTTAATATCCCAATATGCTCTCACCACTTGAAGTTTAAATACAATAACTTATTAAATTATCACTGTACTAGATATTCCAGGGGACAAAAAAATAGGTTACTTTGACATGTAAATCCTCTCAAGGCACTTAAAATTAACTAGGTATGTGAGATAAATACATAAACAGATAAAACCTAAGGCTAAATATAAATGTCATCAACAAGGATACATGGCATTATGTTGTAAATATCCAAGATTCCTTTTAGAAGGGCATGAAGAATAGAGTTTCATAGAGAGACATAGTAGAGACACAGAAAGTAGAAGAAACTTCATAAACAAAGGAAAATGAATAAAATAAATAGTTTGCCTAAAGGCATTAGGGAAAATAGTGGAAGGGAAAACTGGAAAGGTAGATTAAAGTCATATTCTACAATACCTTAAATGCCAAGCTTTTCTTGGTTATGCAGACAAAAAGAGAGGTTCTGACACTTTAGATTTTTAGCAAGGGAGAGACATTATTAGAAGTATAATCTGGAGAGAATCAGCAGGTGGCATGGTGTTTAAAGGCACCGTACTCCTACATGGCTGACCAAGGTTTGAGTCCCAGAACTGGTAGCTTGAAACTCAAGCCAGCCACGTGTGTGTGCATGTCCAAAATCCTGAGAATGGAGAAAGGATTGCAGCATAGCCATCCCCACAGGGGTGATTTCTTGCTTTCTGTTTCTCTGGCGAGAGCACGTGTTCTATAACAAAAATCTCTCTAAAAAAATAATTAATTAAAGTAAAATAAAACAAAGGAATGGTTTCCACTCTCTTGCCACAAACAATCAGAAAGTAAAGAAAACATTTACTAACAATTATTTAAACATACTGCCTAATAGGTAGTGCACAACTGGGAGGTGGTCTCTCTGAATCTTCCTGCCTTACAGCCTGAATATTCAGGCTGCAGTGCAGAAAGCGATTCAGAAACAGAGCATGAGGTTCTAGATGAAATGAGTGAAAAGTTGGAAAACATCATTCCATACAAGTGTAAAATAAACAAAAAAACAGTTGTTGCTATCCTAGTATGAGACAAAATAGACTTCAAAATAAAATTTGGGGCAGCCCATGGCTTGGTGGTTAAAGGAGCTAGATCCCATCTGACTAACTACAAAGTTTAAAAGTTCAAATCCTGGCTCCAACAGCTTGAAAAACATAATGGGTTCATGTGCCTGCATGCCCAAAACCCAGATGCGCTGGCGAAATGGAGGAGAAGGGACTGTGGCATGACCATGTTTCACTGGAGTGTGCTTCTTCCCTCTGTCTTTCTCTGTCTGTCTCTCTGGCAAGTGCATATACCCCCTGACAAAACAAATAAATAAGTAAATAAATAATCAATAAGCAAAAAGAGACAAGGTTATCATATCATATTAAAGGGACCCACTCAACAAAAAGATATAACAATTATAAATATTTACACACTCAACATCGGGGTATCCAAATACATAAAATAAGGACTGTTAGACCTTAAGAGAGACATAGACTCTAATACATTAATTGTTGGGGATTTCAGCACCCCACTCTCACAACTGGATAGATCATCTAAAACAAACATTAATGGACACAGGAGTTAAATGATGTCATAAACCAAATGGACCTGACAGATATTTATAGAACATTTTCAACCAGAAAACACAGTCTATATTTATTTATTTTTTTTAGCAGCACATGACACATTTACTAAGACTGACCACATATTAGGGCACAAAACAAGCCTATACAAATTTATAAAACTAAAAATCATATCTAGCATCTTCTCTGACCAAAATAAAATTAAACATGGAATCAACAAAAAAATTCTGGAAAACAAAGTACCTAGAAACTAAGTAACATGCTCTTGAATGACTTTGAATCTACTGAAGAAACTAAGAATAAAACTTAAAAATTTCTTGAAACAAATGACAATAAAAATACTACACTCTAAAATCTCTGAGATACAGCAAAGGCAGTACTAAGACAGAAATTTATAGTAATCAGTGCTCGCTCATGAGAAACAAATTAGAGATTGCAAATAAACAACATAAGGATGCATCTCAAGGAGCTGGAAAAGAAAAGCTAGATCCAAAAGTAATAGAAGGAAAGAAATAATAAAGATCTTAGGAGAAATAAATGAAACAAGAGAATAAAAGAATAATTTTAAAAATCTTACAAAATTAAAAGCTAATTCTTCAAGAGAATAAAAAAAAACTGACAATCATTAGCTACATTAGGAAAAAGAAACAGAAGACTCCAATACATAAAGTCAGAAATTAAAAAGAGGACATTACAGTGAATATCACAGAAATACAATGATCATTAGGAATTATAAAAAGCTATTATATGGTTATAAGCTGAAAAACCTAAAAAAGATGGACACATTTCTGGACACATATAGCACAATTAGGTGGAATCAGTAAGATACAAAAAAAACCTGAATAATCCCATAATAAGTAATAAGACTGTGTCAGTAATCAATAATCTCCCAACAAGGAAAAGCTCAATTTTTAAAAATAATTTATTATTATTATTTATGCTATTTATCAATTGCTATACACCATTTAGACTGTAAAGAGACTTTACCCAGCATGATACACATTTCAGTCCAGTTGAGAATACTACACACATCCTCATCAACAGATAATAAACCGTATCTGTGTCTAAAAATATCGTACCTCTCCATTTTTTTCCCAAAATTTCATTTCTTGCACTCTTCCCCTCCCACACTTTCCTTCCACTTTGTCTCTAGTGTCCATAACATTTTTTTAATGTTTTTATGTCCTCCAGTCTTTCAATCTCTACCATAGAATGCAAACAGTCAGTATTTGTTAGGTGGAGACACACAATGTCTCTCTTTCATAGCCTGACTTGCTTCCCTCAGCAACAAATCTTCCATATTCCACTTTCTATCAAATTCCAGGTCCTTGTTTTTTTATGGTTGAATAATATTCCATGAAGTCTATGTGCCGCACTTTTTCAATCCATTCATCCGTTTGTGGACATTTAAGTTGGTTCCATGTCTTAGCAATTGTCAATAGTGTTGCAATAAATATAGTTGTGCAAGCACTTTTCTGATTGAATATTCTCCTG